AATCCGCAGGCGAATCAAATCGACACCCTCGAGATCGAACCGATGGAGTTCATAGGGCTCCTGCCTTCTGAGGGGGGGCAACGCGAGGGGACTGGCTCCGGGGGGGGGAACGTCGACCTGGAATCGGCGGTGCAGCGCCAGAAGATCGGCGACGCGCTCCCGATAGCGGAGCGGCGCACTCCTGGGCGGGGGCTGGCCTCTCGGGCCTCTCTCGGCGACAAGGGGGCAATTTTGGCGGCCGAGGCCTGTGCCCCTGAACCTACCCCCCTCCAAAGGTTGGTAAAGGGGCCCAGGGACACGCAAATAAATAGGCACAGATATCCCAGGATTCCCCATGTTTTCCCCAAGTTCCTGGGTGTTCGTCTTCCACCCCACTTCCCATGCATGTTCCCACCTTCCCCTGGGGACCGACGATTTATTGTACCTGTGTTTCTGTTTTTTCTCCTTATGCTTTTGACTCGGAGCTCGGGCCTGTGCCCCTGAACCTACCCCCCTCCAAAGGTTGGTAAAGGGGCCCAGGGACACGCAAATAAATAGGCACAGATATCCCAGGATTCCCCATGTTTTCCCCAAGTTCCTGGGTGTTCGTCTTCCACCCCACTTCCCATGCATGTTCCCACCTTCCCCTGGGGACCGACGATTTATTGTACCTGTGTTTCTGTTTTTTCTCCTTATGCTTTTGACTCGGAGCTCGGACTTTGGGCGGCCGCTCGGGACGATCCGGGCATCCCCGGCACGCTCTCGGCGGGGCGCAGCTGCTGGAGAGCACTCCGAGGCTGGGAGACCGCCGAGCACCGACGAACACGCTCGAGAACCTTGAGCCTCGAGCCCGAGCCGGCGATGAGTAGGCGACTGGCGGTCGAGGCGCTCTCGGGCCGGGCGAGGGGGGGGGATAGCAAAGGGGGGGGGGGAGAATCAGCTCGCGCAGCTGATTTTCCCGGCGCCCTTCCCGGCGCCGGAGGCGGCTACGTGTCGAGGAATGGGCCCCTCGGTGGGGCCGAAACCAGCTGCACGCAGCAGATTTCGTACCCCCCCTTTCCCAATCCCCCCCTTGCGTCCGGCCCGACGCTCACTCGTGAGACCGTGCCCCCGCCTCTGCCCTTAAGGGCCTCGGCCGGGCGGGCTCTCCTTGTCGAGCAGGCGCCAGCGCTCGAGCAGGCTCGCGAGGGCGCGCTCGGTGTAGGACTTGAGCACCAGGGGGTCCGTCGGCAGGCGGTTGCACAGGGCTGCCGCCGGGCGGGCTGCGCACACGACACGGCCCCCGCGGAGATTGTGGCAGCCGGTTTGCGCCGCGATGCCGCGGAGGCTGGCTTCTGACGCCGCACTCATCGGTCGACCTCGAACGATCGCGGCTCCGCGACAGCGCAGATCGCTCGTCACCATCCGATTCTGGGCCACTGGCAGCATGAGCCTCGAACGCCCGCGCAGGGGCCGTCGCCGCCGCGTCACCGCGGCGCAAACCGACGGCTGCTCGGAGGGGACGCACTGAGAAACAAAGGATTACGGAATCCCACCAGCCCTTTGGGCGTGAGTGGTTTAGAGAGCCCGCTCTGTTCTCAACCCCCTTCTTCCCCTTCGGGGAGGGGCTTCCCCCTCCCCCTACCCCCTCCCCCTGGGCCTGGAGAGGGCGCCCCGCGGGTGGTCAGAGGGGTCTTTTTCGACTCCTGGGAGGGCTAAAATTCGACACCCCTCACGAGGATTCTGGCCCCGACGGGGGGAGGGAGAAAAGTGCTCCCCCCATCTGTGATCGATCGCCCGACAGATGGCCCCAAGATTCCTCCCAGACCCCTCCCAAAGAGCCCCAAGAGGCCCCAAGAGGCCTCCAAGAGGCCCCCAAGATGCCCCCAAGAGGCGCCCAAGAGGCCCCCAGAGGCTCCCCCGAGGCACCCAAGACGCTCCTGGAAGCCCCTGGGGCCGCCAAGAGGCCCCCAAGACGCCCCAAACCGCCTCCAAGAGGCTCCCAAGAGGCCCGAAGAGGCTCCACCAAGGCACCCACGACGCTCCTAGAAGCCCGTGGGGCCGCCAAGAGGCCCCGAAAACGCCCCAAAAGGCCTCCAAGAGGCTCCCAAAACGACTCACACCACGACGAGGGCCCCGAACGACTCACACCACGAGGAGCCCGAACGAGTCACACCAGGAGGAGGGGCCCGAACGACTCACACGACGACGAGGGGCCCGAACAACTCACACCACGAGAAGCCCGAACGACTCACACCAGGACGAAGAGCCCGAACGACTCACACCACGAAGAGCCCGAACGACTCACACCAGGAAGAAGGGCCCGAACGACTCAAACCAGGACGAGAAACCCCAAACGACTCAAACCACGAGGAGCGCTTTCTCTCCCTCCTCCTCCGCCTCGTCCTTCTCCCGCTCCCCCCACAAGGAGGATGTACAAGGAGGCGGGAGGAAGGAGGAACAGGGGAGACATGCGGGGCCAAGCGGACACAAGCCTGAAAAACACGACTGTCGGCATGCTTCGCAAGAGTTGCTGTTGCGAGATGGGCTGGTGGGGATACGCGAAGCGTAAAGAATTTGCACTCTGGGAGGTCCGCGCGGACCTCCGAGAAGTTCTAGATTCCCCCGGGGCCAAGTCTCCACCCCGCTGCGTTTTCTGGCGGTGCCAGGTCCCGTGGAGGGCCCCAGGGAGCCCAAAGTGGCGAAGCATAGAACAAAAATCCCATTTCCCTCAGGAGTCGTTTCTTTCATGTTGTGGATGCCATGGCAATGGACATCCTAGCACTCCTATCAGTGGATGAAACATACACTTAAACTTGTTCATATTATGTGTTTAACATGTTCAAGACATGTGTGAATCATTTTTTAGACATGTGGACATGATTTAGCAACATGCTCCCTCTCCATTGATCGTCGCCCACAACTCTCATGGCGAGGAGGAGGAGGAGCAGGGGAGGAGCAGAACAGAGCATCTGCGCTCCGAGAGGTGCGCCTGCGCTCGACGGCACGCGGGAGGCAGCCTGAGCCGAAGTGCCCGACCTTTGCCGCTGGCCCCGAGAGGGCAGGAGAGCCCGGAAGCGACTCCATACAGTCGGACTGGATTGGACAGGACGCGCGAGGACACGTGACCCCTTCCAAGGGCCACGATGCCATAATAATGTAGGAGGCACCGCGGCAAGGGGCCCCCAAGAGCCCCCCCCCCCCAAGAGGCCCCAGGGGAGCCCAATACGCCGCCAAGGAGCCCCAAGACGCTCCCAAGAAGCCCCCAAGGAGCCCCCAAGACGGCCCCAAGAGGCCCCGAATAGCGCTTCGGGGCCGGCGGAATGAGCGAAGCGATTAAATAATGTAGGAGGCATGGGTCGCGAGATACAGGACACAAGGGTACTCTTGACTTGGGAGGCTCGACCTACTGATCAGGGCCGACTGTAAGTCGGATCGGCGATCGACATGAAACGGATCGGCGGAGATCAGCAGCCGAGTCGGGAGAAGTCGAGTCGGCGGAAATCGACAGGCCAGTGGGCCTCTATTCGGAGATCGGAGCACAAATCGGAACCCGAAGTCGAATCAAGTCGGAACTGGAAGCCACCGAGATCGAATCGAATAAAGTCGGAAGAATCGGAATGAGCCCTGAGAGGAGGAGGAGGAGGAGGAGGAGGAGGAGGAGGAGGAGGAGGAGGAGGAGGAGGAGGAGGAAGAGGAGGAGGAGGAGGAGGAGGAGGAGGAGGAGGGGGTGAAATAGCAGAAGATAGAGGAGGAGGAGGAGGAGGAGGAGGAGAGGAAGAAGGAGTAGGAGGAGGAGAAGAAGGCAGCTGCGTGCCAAAGAGCACGACTGGCAAGTGAA